CCCGCCCGGCAGAACAATAACGCGTAAATCACTCCGCACGCTATTAATGGCCCGGTGTTTTGCAGTCATAATTTTTATAGCAAAAGCCATATGTTTTTATGCAAAGGGATCGCGGCGCTCCACGATCGGGTTTGTTTTAATTGTGGCCAACGAAGATTAAAAGATCAAATCTGGCCTTGCCTCTGTACTCCCTCCCTCCCCTCCCACCGCCACCACCAGACACACAGTTCTTAACCGGACTATTTTATACCACAATTAATCACGCCATCAGCAAGACGCGGGTCCCGCGTGCGAGTGCGGCCAGCGGAGCCCCTCACATAAAATTAGACAATAATTGAAGCCATAAAAAAGCAGCCAAGTCGCATTCTCGCTCTACTGTATTTAAATCTATATTTATGATATTTCATAAGGAATTATTGTTTCAGAAGCCACACAGGCTGGTGGGAAGTTGGGAACCACCAACAGATTCTTTTTCCTCGCCGTGGCTCCAAGCTGTAAAAATTTATGAGGACTTGGAAAGGTTAAATTAGACTGTTGTGTTTGGTTGGCGAGCTCCCTGTAAATAATCCCTGCGGTTCCCGGAGATGCGAGTTTACCCCGGGTCCGGCTGCGAAAAGTCAAATTCAACATAGTATCCGTCCCAAACAGAGCCACCACCGCCCCTGCCCGAGCGCGCTAGGCAGGGACAGGCTGCCGAGAGGGCACCGCCTATTGTGGGCCCCTGAAATTTGCCGAACCCGAGCACAGGGCGCCGGGGCAGCTCCCAAATTCTCCGCTGCGCCGCCAGCGAGGGCCCCAACCAGGGGCGGCCGGAGAGGGAGCAGCCATCCGTCCCTGAGGCAAAGGGGTGGAGGGCCTGGTTGTGCCGCGTGTTCCGCTGGAGCCCGCGCACACACGCGCCCAGCGTGCACTGTTCACTGTGAGTCGGGAATCACCATCCCGGGGCGGACGCACGAGGCGACCTAGTCCTGTGCTGCGACCTCCAAGGCCCTAATGCTGAGCTCGGCAAGCCTGGTGGCACTCCCTGAACCACAGCTGGGGAAAAAAGCAGGAGGCAGCATGAGTGGAAGGAGAGCCTGGCTTGCGGAAAGGCAGCCCCGCCTGAGGGACCCCGCGGCTCCAGTAGCTGGGAGGCCTGCACCAGAGCGGCTGGCCTCGGGACTCAACATGAGTCCTTCAGGGTGCCTGCCTTCCTTGCTTCCTGGCCACCGCCCCGGGCCCCGCCTCGGTAACCCACCCGGCGGGGCTGCTCAGCAGAGTTACAAGACCCAAAGCGAGGCGGCCCCAGCTCAAGTCCAGGGCTAGAAATTAAAACGGGGAGGGGCACGGAGCATTGACTTTAATCCCATCCCTTAACTTGGCCAAATTGAGGAGGGTATTTCTCACTCCCTAGAGTCAGGGGTAAATGAAACGGCCTCGCTTCTCTGTTAACTGGGGGAGAAAAAAACCCACCCCAAATCCGAAGAGAAAGCGACTCCTAAAAATGGGGTAATTAAATTCACGTGCGAACACTGTGCCTGCAAGAGTGTTTCTCATTAGTCCACTTCCCTGGCGGCGAGGGCGGGCGGTCTCGGCCGTTTCCATCTCCTTTTTGCCTTCATCTTCTCTAATAGTTCCAGTAATCTCCCCCAAACCCTGATGCGTCCCTATCCCGGGTGCAGACCCTTACGTGCCAGGCTCTCCCCGAGAGTGAGGCTGCGAAGGCGCCGGGAGACCAACCGGGTGCCCCTTCCTCCGCCCGCGCCGGAAGAGGGAAGTGGTGGACACAATGAACTCCGACGTGGCTGGTCCTGGTCGCCTCAGCCCCCTCCCCCCTAATATTTTCCTTTCCCTGTAAATTCCTCCGGTTATCCCCACCCCCACCGCAGCCCAAGGTATCCCAAACGTGGAGCAGTTCGCGGAGCCTCCGAGAGAGTTTCATTAAGAAAAACTAACCTTGGAGGAAACCTTCGCTCCTAATTGTAAATGTCTGCAAACGAGCTGGACACGCCTGGCTGCCTTTTGCACTTTTTGTACCCAGAAAAGACAAGAGTTATTAGCATTTTTTTCAAAACAAAAAGGCTGTTCTTTAAATGGCCTTAGCTCCCAAAATAAGATGGTTACTAAGTAGTTAGCAGGCGTTGAGTGTTAAGTTGTCCTTACTGGTGCTCAGAAAGTGAGAAAATCACAAAACGAAATCTCTCTCTTCATCCCAGAGGTTTGGGGAGAGAATATTCAGGCTTTTGTGTCTGCTTTTATTTTGGAAGTGAAAAGAATTGCGTGCGCATAAAGAAAGAAATTGATGTAATTACAAACCGCCTCTTCTCGCCTGAGAGTTCTAAAACTTCGGCCTCCAAAACAAATCCAATACTCAGGTCCAGAAAATGGCAGAGGAGTTGAGGGGAACGCGGTGTGCCGGCCTTTCAGATAACAGTTCCCGGGCCCACTGCCGCAGCTGCGAAGGGAAGCACCGCGCGGTGGGCGTGAGTCTGAAGGCCCGCGAGTGTGTGTTTGTTGGGGGTGGTTAGGGAGGGTTGGAGGTTATTTTCAGTTCTGGGTGGCGAGAACGGTCCGACTGGCTTCCAACGGTGGACTACAACTTGGAACAAGGACTCAAGTTTGTATTCCAACGGTTCTGGAATTTAGGATCCCTTCCCCTATTTTTTGAAACAGACTGGCGCTGGAAGGGTCCCCTTCTCTAGCACCCATCCACACAAGGATGCCATATCTAACATCCTCTGAACCTGATAGAAGCTAGTGGCAAGCAAGCAGCCAATGTTTGCCCTAGCGGGGCTCCCTTATCGCGGGTAAAGCCCGAGCCGGGATCGGCAGGCCCGGGAGAGCCGAAGAAGCTTCCCCGCGGAGTCCTCTGCGTCGCCAGGCTCCACCGAGCCTGGCTGGGCCTCGGCCCAGGTCCTAGCCTCAGGTCCTCAGTGAGGCTGGCGAAGGCCTCCTTGCCCTCGGTGTGGGCACACAAAAACACCGCGAGTGCCCTCTAATCCGCTCTCTTAGGCTGCCATTGCAGACCCGCGGAGTAGGAACGCAAGGCCGCCGCCATCCGGTCGTGATCGTAACCGAGGCCTTGTCTGCGCAGCGGCACACCAGGCCCAGATCCACAGCCCTCAACAGCCGCCCCACGCGAACCCTTCTTCGGCAGATTCCGACCTTCACTTGAGCACGCAGAGAAAAATAAGACCCCCTCAGGCTCTCCCAAAGCCAGCCCTGGATCTCTCCTGAAGGAAGAGTTGTGGAGGATAGGAGGTGGGAATAGAAAAAAACAACACAGAGAGACGATGAAAGAAAATTAAAGGGAAGGAAGGAAAGAAGGAAGGAATAGAGAAAGAAAAAAGAGGAAGGAGGACAGGAAAGGAAGGAAGAAGAGAGTCAAAGGCAACTCCTGGGAGTAGAGAGTGGCTTACAGACAGAAGGGTAAGTGGCAACGCCAGGATCCCAGCCCCCCCCCCCCCCCCCCAGTTCCTCCTAGTTTGGCCTGAGTCTCAGCTGGCAAAGGGATCTTTCCTGATCTCCTACCTGGATTGGGGCTGGTGGTGTCCCAGGCTTGCAGGAGAATGGCGCAGTCCCTGGCCAGGCGCAGGCCTGGAGCGGGGTAGGCCCAGGATGGAAGCGTGCGCCCCTGACCTTGAATGGCTCGGGGCCCAGAATTCCTACCACGCCCCCGGCGTCCGCTAAGGAGCAGCTAACCTGACCATACCTGCTCAGGCCTAGGTGGGGATGGGGAGTGAGGCCAGCAGGCTGGCAGAGCTCTGAGAATGAGGCAGGGTCGAGGCTCCTGAGTGGGAAAAGCCGAGGTTGCCACTGCAGGCCTGGCACGATCAGGGCCTGGATGCCCTGCCTGGCCCGGCCCGGCCCGGCCCCCGCGCGCACGGGTACCTGGAGACGATTTCAACTGAAGTAATGAAGGCAGTGTCGTGCTGTCGAGAGAAAGCTGGATCCCAACAACAGGAAACTACCTAAATCACCGACCAGTTCTGATGCTGCCCGCGCGGGTCTGCCGCCCGCAGCCTCTGCCGCCGCCGCCGCCGCCGCCACTGCCGCCGCCAAAGGAGAACCCTGAGGTCGCGCCGGCCCGGCCCCTGGCCAACCTGCGCCCGCCGCTGCTACTGCGTGCCCCGGGGATGCCGCTAAGGCATCACGGAGGGAGAAGCCACCGGCCCCGGTAAGGTAAACCTGGGAAAGGGAGGGAAGGAAGATAAAAGAGAGAAAAATGGAAAGAGGGGGGAAAGCGAGAAGAGCGGAGAGAAGGAGCAGTGTACGTGCTGGTTTCCCAAATTTTGCAGGTCAGCGAGCAGGCGCCGAACTGCGGCAGCCCTGGGCGGCTCGAAAGCGCCAGGGACAGCACCGAGGCCCGCTCCCTGTCTGGTCTCGGCCTCCCGCGCTAGCTCCCCGCGGCTCGCTTTCCCCCCTCTAGCTCACCGCCAGCCAGCCAGCCGGGGCGCGCGCGCCCGCGCCCCCTCCCTCTTGCTGTCGCCCCCCCCCCCACCTCCCGCGAGCAGGAAACGCGTGGCCCCGCGGAGAGCGACCAGGTGGGGGAGGACACGCTGGGGGAGGGGGTGCCCGGGCCGCCCCACCGCGGTCTACCTAACCGCTGAGCGGACACCAGGGACACGCTGTGGGCCCAGCCTGCTCTCCGGATTCCTAGTCTGGGGGTCATCTAGGACCAGGGGACCCACAAAATAACCAGCCTCTGCGAGCCTCCCTAGGGCTCCCGAAAGAAATCCTGTTCGGCTTCCTCTGTCTATGCAGCTCCCCTCTCAACTGAAACCACTGGTCCAAGACAGCCACAATCCAGATATACTAGCAAGTCATAAAACTGAACAAAAGCCGACAAACCTTACGGCACCAGGGCTATAGGGCCCAGACAAATTACGACCGTCTAGGTAATATTTAAATAGATGCCTAAAGTAATTGCAGGGGGCGCAGGCTAGTCCTCCTGTTGTAAAAGTGGTGGACGGGGTAAAGTGGAAGGTGAAGATAAGAAGTCAAAAAAAAAAGAGGTAAAATTAAAAAGCTTCATTCCACAGCTTTTATTCTTCTATAAGAACATAAACATCGTCTTTTTTTCCACGCACAGCAGCATTACAATATTAATTTATTCTGATTTAAGATTAGAAGTAAATAGAACTAGAACTAACATTTATAATAATGATAGAATGCATTTGCATAAAACAAGATTGGCAATTTTTCATAATAATAGACATTTATACAGATTTGTATTTATAGTTTTTTCTTTTTCTGCACCTACAGGTTTGACCCTTTTATGCATGTAACTTCACAGTATAAAGGAAATCCAACAATGTCTCCCTTCTCTAGCTATTCTGCTTGCTCCTGCCCTCCTCGGCTTCTGTGAATTTTGGAAAGAAAAAAAAGAAAGAAAGAAAGGAAGGAAGGAAGAAGAAGAAAATTAAAAAGTGAAAAAAAAAAAAAACCCTCCACAGTTAGGAAGAATTGTGGTGTGCTTGTCGTGTGTTACCACTGGTAACAGTTATTCAATCACCAAAAAATCTGCATGTATAAACAAAACTACATTAGATTATTTACCTACAGCCAGAAGGATGTGGAAATTCAGGGGTCAGTGAAATAATTTAGTTCCACAATGCAAGACCTTACACAAACTGGAAGAGAAGTTTCCTTCTTCTGGTCATTCTTTTTGTTCCTTTTAAAGCTGGAATATCTTACAGAGGAAGGAAAAATTAATCTTTCTGACTTTTCAATTTTCCAGTCAGCCGAAGTCAAGCCCTTTTGCCAACCTGCATGTCCATGCCTATAAGCCCTTCTCTTTGCCAAGGAAGAAAGTAAGAAAGAAGAAAGAAACCCAGAGGCCTGTATCCCCTGATTAAACACAGCCCAGCACTCCAGGCCGGCGAGCCCGGTGGCGGCTCCTTGCACCATTGACCTCAGGCCAGACACCTCAGAGCCTACAATGGGACCTCGGCCTTCCGGCTAGGTTTGCCCGGGGGGGCCCCCCGCAGGAAACCAGCTCCAGTTCCACCGGGAAAACAGGGGCCATTTCGAGCATTGGAACCCCCCCGAGACAGCAAACCATCCCAGTCACCACTTGACACTTAGGACAATATCTATCTCTATAGAATTTTAGCGCGATATGGCTTTTTCCCCCAGAAAACAACAAATAAACCAGCACCAAGCAAACGGACAAAGAAACAAAAAGTCAGAACAAACCAGCCCTGCACAGATGTAACGGCCAGGAGATGGCGAGTGTGGGAGGGAGGAATGGGGCTCCGGCACAGGTGCGAGTTCCTGGGCAGAGGCCGAAGACAGAGGGAGGAGAACAGCTCTCTGGAAGCGAAAAAACGGCGTTGCCTGGAGATTCATCAGGAAAAATTAAAGTTGGCTGTGAGCTCCCGGATCCGGTTTTCTCGGTTCATTTTCTTCAGTTTCATCCTGCGGTTCTGAAACCAGATTTTAACTTGTCTGTCCGTGAGGTGGACGCTGCGGCTGATCTCTAGGCGCCGCTCTCGAGTAAGGTACATGTTGAACAGAAACTCCTTCTCCAGCTCCAGCGTCTGGTGCTTCGTGTAGGGGCAGCGCTTCTTCCGGCCGCTCTTTGCAGTGAGCCAGTTGGCTGCGTTTTCGCCTTTGGAATTGCCTGGCATTTAAGAGAATAAAGAGGGGAAGGTTAAATCGAGGCCACGAGGGCTGCGCGCAGGGGTGAATTTAGGACGTCTCTGCCATAAGAGGGATGCCCTAAGTCACACAGCTATGCCCCTCTTGCTTGCCCAGGGAGAACAGTTCCTCCAAAAGGCATGTGCAAAATGAACTGGGCCTCCAATCTACACCTATCCTCCCAATACACATTTTCCTCCACTTTTTTCCAAACACCTGTTTTAGCACAAAGCTGCCAGGCGCTTGCAGAATGAATGGCCTAGGAGGGCAGGCTGTATATCTTGAACTTAACGCCTTTCTTTGCTTCTTGCCCCAAGGCAGACGAGCATTTCCGCAGCCCCGAGGCTGGGGGTGCGAGGTGCTTACTTGAAAGGGGGGAGGGCAGCGGGGCTGTGTCTCACTCCAGCCCCCTGGTTGCCCAAGGCCCGTTGAGGAGAGGGAGAAGAGAACAGTTGGGACTTGGGAGACGCACGAAAAGCTGATCTGGGGTCAAGGGCCCTCCCTCACGTCTCTCCAGGAGCCAGGGACGTGCAGTCTGGGCGATCCCGAGTTCCAGGAGAAGCGAAACGGCCCCTCTCTGACTCTCAGCTCAGGGCCCCGGCGTCCGGGGCGAGATTTGCCTTTTCTTCTCCCCGAAACAAGGATTCCCGCCCCTCCAGCAACTTTGAAAAAAAGCATGGGGGATCGTAAACTCGAACTTCGCCGGTTAATGGGCTTATTTATTGGTGCTGGCGGCTGCTTATTTTGGATGCCTTACAAACATCCACGCTATCTGCGGGCGAGCTACTTTCCCTCCCTCCCCCTCCCCCCGCGTGGGCCGCGCCTCGAAGACTGGGCCCAGACCACGGCTTGGGGTGCTCCGGGCCACGAAGAAGGGCACGTACAAGAGGGGGGCTGCTCGCCGGTGTCCTCGCCCCCAGAAGGGGTGAGCTGAGGCCAGCGTGGAGGACGTCTTGGTGTGGGGCGCTAACCCGGACATGAATTTTTACTGCGTCCCCACGCCCAAATATTAAAAAGCAAGTTCACAGGGTCAGCCTGCCTGCAGCTCGGGCCAAGGCCGGCCGGCTGTTAGGCGGACTCCTGGCCCTCTGTTCCTTCCCTTCTCTGGGTCTGCTAGTCTGTCTGCCCGCCTGCCTGAGGCCCTTCAGCAAGCCCTGCTTACCCAGGGAGTCCTTCTCCGGCGAGGCTTTGCTGCTCTCGGAAGGGGCCGGGGAGAGCTCTTCCGCAGCTGAGGACGAGGCGTGCGCCTCCTCGTCGCCCTGCGAGCCCCCGCCGCTGCCACCGCAAGCCAGCGTCGGGGCCGGCGGCGAATCGAGGGCTCGCTCCTTCCGGGCTGCATCCGCCGAGCCGGAGGCTAGCGAGGGTGGCGGGTCGAAGCCGCGCCCCGGGGGCTGAGCGGGGAACGGGCCGGCGCCAAGCTGCAGCGCGCCGCCGCCGCCGCCGCCGTAGCTCTTGCTCGTGCCATAGGCCTGGGAGAGGCGGAAGTAGCCGGGCACTGGCACCCCGCTGGAGGTGCCCAGGGCGCAGCCGTCGGGCGGCGGGCCCCGCGGGGGGAAGGGGGCCAGCTCGGCAGCGGCGGCCGAGCCTTTGGGGCATTTGTCCGCCGAGTCGTAGAGGCAGTAGGAGCTCTCCTCTTTGATGTTCTGCGCGAAAGAGCAAGAGGTGGCCTGGGGCGGGGGCTGGGGTGGTTGCGGCGGGGGCGGCGGCTGCTGCTGGGGCTGCTGCGGTGGCGGTCCCTCGGGTGGTTCCATCCGGCACGACCGGGGCGCGTCCAGCCACAGGTCTATAGGCGCGGGCGCGTAGCCGTGCGCCCCGGGACCCAGGCCCCCGTTGCCACCGCCGCCGCCCGGCGACGCCGCCTCATGACGCTTGCCTCCCAGAGCTGGGAAGAGCCCGCAGCTCTGCAGCCCGTAGGGCAAGTCGGTGGCTGGCGGCAGGTAGACCCCGCCGTGGGCGTAGTAGCCGCCGCCGCCGCCGCCCCCCGCGCCGCCGCCACCACCGCCAGCCTCGCCTCTGCCGGAGCTGATGAGCGAGTCGACCAAAAAAGAGTTCGCGGCGGGGCTCTCCGAGCATGACATTGTTGTGGGATAATTTGGCGAAGGGAGCAGATAGCTCTTTCTGGCTGACATTTCTTGTGCAAAACATGCTGAATACGATTAGCAATCCCCCCGCACCGCGGCGGGCGCCCGCAGCCAATCCTGAGCCAGAGTTTCCGCGCGACCACTCCCAGTTTGGTTTCGTAGGCGCGGGGCCGCTCTCCGAGGGCGCCCTCCGAGCCCGCGATTGATATAAATATGTAATCTGTATTGATGGGCCGCAAGACGCACACCCGATACCTCAGCCCAAAGGCCAGGAGCTGCGGGGGCTGCCTCAGCATGGCTGGTGGGGGGCCGGGCCCCTGGGCTCGCCCCGCCCATGCCCGGCGTGAGTCCTCCTGCGGGGTCTGTTTGAAGGGCCCTTGGGCCCCGCGCAGTTAACAAGTGGAGTGTTTATGGTGTGCACCCCAGCCCGCCTTGGGTGCTCCCTATTCTTAATTTGGAATCAGCCACTAACCTTTGGTGCACTCTAACCACTAAGGGGTCCTGTCGGGCCTCAAGCTCTTCCAATTCAGCTCTGGACCTGAAGCTGTCTCCCAAAAGATGTAGACCATGTCCTAAGGCCACCAGGACCCTCAGAGTGTCCGAAATCCAGAGTAGACGGGAAGATGGCTATTGCTACTTCTTTCTTGCATCCCACACAGAATTTTCCCCAAAACGCAATGCCCTGGCCTTCCACCCCCTACACTTCTCTTCCACTGGTCGGTTGATCCAGTTAGGATCTTTGCCTCTGGTGTGCTCACCTGGCTTGCCTTCTCTACAGCTCCCGTCGGTGGACCTTGGTGGGCTGGCACGAGTCGGGGGTGTACGCGACTGGCAACCTTGGCTGAAAGATTCCTCCACCCCTACTCCGAGACCAGAGCCAGGTCCAGACACCACACAACCTCATCACCCTGGCAGCCTGAGAGCTCATACGCAGTTTGGGGCAAGTGAAAGAAACATTGATCTTCAGAGTCTTTGGCTTGCCGGGAGGCGAAGACCTGGAGGGGGAAACCTGGTGGGGGGCGGCCGATAGACATCTCTGCCACACTCCTCTCCAGCTCTCCCTTTTAGCCTTGGCATTCGCACGCTCCCGGAGGCTATGACAAAAACCAGTGTCACCACACTCCTGCCTCTCTGTCCCCTCCCTTCTTCCCCCCTCCCCTCCCCTCCAAACCCGAAGCTGGGGCAGCCGTCACTCCCGCGGTGTGCGCATTTTAACGAGGCCCGCGGTGAGGAAATCCGTTCCCTGCGAGGCCGGGTTGGGCTCGTGTCCCAGTTATAGGAGTGTTCGGAGGCCAGGCCCTTTGCTCAGCAGACACTGGGCCTCCTTCGTCGCTGGCCGTGTGACCTGCTCTTAGTCAACTGGAAACGGCCGGCCCGGGGCGCTAGCCCCCAAGAGTGGGCCTCATACACGTCTCAGGAAATGCGACCTTTTCCGGCCGGATCCACTGGAGCCCAGGAGGTGGATTCTTGCCCCTGGCCTGCGGGCTACAGCTCTACAGGATGCCCCAGGCCTGCCGGCCCCGTCAGCTCCAGCCCAAGCAGAGGCCTTGACTTGCTGCTGGACGCCGGGATCCCAGGAAGCTGACCGCTCAGGCCTCTGCCTGTAACGGGAAAGACCCTTGCAGCCCGGTTGATTTGTCAGCACTTGGCCTTGTTCCTCCCAGTATGAACCCAGTCCGAGGAAGAAGCCGAGCCTGAGAGGACCCAGAGAGAGCGCACGGGAGAGCTGGCGGCAGAGCCCTGGCGCTAGCTTCTGAGATGCAAGTAGTCGCGAGCAGTTGCGGTCTCTGCCGCCTCGGCTGCTCCGCGCGCAGCGCCCGGAGGCCGCGCCACCGCTTGCGCTGCGCTCCAGCTACTTCTGCTGCGCTCCTCAGTGACTGGCTCTTTGGACTGGGCATCTAGAGTGGAGAGGAGGAGGACAGAGAGAGAAAGAGGGAGAAAGGCAGAGGGAAAGAAAAGGGAAAGCGTGAAAGAACTAGTTCTCTCCAACCGGACAGCGTCTTGAGGCCACAGTAGTGGCACAGCCGGATCAAGTGAAGAATCTATGCGGAGAGATTAGGAACTGTGCTTCGCTGTCCACGTTACTCCCACCCACAAGGCCAAGGCAAATTCTAACCTGGCTAGGCCGGCAGCACCAACGAACTTGAGTACAGAGAAGCTGCAGAACTCGCAGCCTAGGAGCCTTCCCCGGATGGGCCCGGTCCTTACCCAGGAGCTCACCAGGCGCTCAAGACTGTGGCGCTCAGCAGCGCTACTAGGAAATGCCACAAAGCTGAGGGCTGCCTGAGAAGGGGATTTTGCCTCTCAGCACTGTCCATGCCTCCTCAGGAAGCTCTGTGGAGTGGGAAGTAGGTCCCAAGAAGAGGAGAGGATTTTTTGAGGAGAAAGAGCCGCAGCAGCCCCAGCCGGGACTTTGTGCCTCACCGACTAACTGCAGAAAGCAGCTTCCCAGGCCGCAGGTTGGGAAGGACCAGTGGCCATAGGTGAGAATGCTTGAGATAGTGGAGGCTAATAAAATAAAGAGAAAGACAATGATCTAAACTTGTCTTTTTTAACCTTTTTGGAAGTGAAGTCCCCTTTGGAAAATCTAAGGCCAAGTTCTGACTCTTATCCTGTGAGAAACGCACATCTGTACATTCCCACAATTTGACCCATCGTTTTCAAGGAGTTCACAGACCCCCTCAAAGGCTTCTCCATGGGCCCTCCAGAATATTGCAGAACTCTGGAAATTCAGCGACCTGGCCAATTTGACTGGTAAGACAAGCAGGGTGTCTCATTGTAGGCAGCTCAGGCCCTGTCTGGTCAGGGCCCTGTAGGGTGGCCAAATGGGCTTCTAGGCTGGATGGGATCCAAGACCGGGTGTGCTCCAACTAAGGTTACAAAAGTCACCTTGGTACTGCATCTGCTACAAGAAGGCTGCCCCGGCTTCGGCTGCAGAGTAGAAGAGGTGGAAGGCCGGCTGCAGACTCTCAGACCGTGGCATTGGCACTTGGGTCTTCACCACCCTTTGGGGAGAGCTGGATGTTTTTCTCCAGCATCTTTTCCCCCTTGTAATAGACCAAAAGGAATGTTTGGTTTGTGCTGTTTTTTGCTTTTAAAAAAGCTGTGTAAGCGTGTGTGGGAACCCCTCTATGGCCCAGAACCACCACCCCACCCCCACCGGGGCTTGCTGAGCCGACAGCCAACGCAGAGCCTGCGGGTGTGCCTGGGACGCAGACTGGCCTGGCGCTGCTGCTGGTTCGGAGAGAAGACATCCACGCAGCAGAAGCTCACGTTAAACGTGGCTGCCCTCAGCCCTCCTGGAGCTTCCAGCAAGACTCCACACTCCCACAGAGGTGTTAGCTTCCTCAATAGACTAGTCCATTTATCCATCACCTTGGCTTTCCTGAGATTCCCCACCTTCTGGAGATTAAGAAAAGCGATTCAGTTACAGCGTTAGTCGGCTTCACCTTCTGGACACACGCTCTCCCTCTTGCCATTTGCCTTCTTTCCTTCTCTCCCTTTCACCCTCCCTCTCAGCTGCTGAATTTCTCTCCCGTTCTCAGGTTGCCTTTGACTTAAAACTCTCGGTGCCTGCTTGCTTCAGCCAGGCCTGTGGAGCAGTTCTGTGGCAGCCATCGGGGCCCACGTTCCATTTAGGAGTAAATATCACCCATTTCTACCTGAGTAATAACACTCTTCCCTCCCCCATGGTTATGGAGCCAAAGTAAATGCCAGGCAGGTCGAATAAGCCCTTTGGTGAAGATTACAATGCGGTTCACCAGGCATCAGATTTGTCCTCCTGAGTAAACCCTTGCAAATGATGAGAAATAATAAACTACCACCAAAAAATTCTTTTTAAAAATACGAGGTATTGAGATTGAGATAGCCAGTAAACAATTTGTATCTGAAGGTCGCTCTCAATGCTTTCAGGGCTCAGAATTATCTGACTGGCTATGGAGTTGGGCTGCGGCCCCACAGAGGGAAATAAACACTACTTCCATGTGTCCGGCTTTAACAAAAATTCTGGACTCCTCTGATTCACGTATTTACTGCCGAATTAGAAATTTTTTTGGTAAGCAATGATGTTCTTTTCTCGTCCATCTTTAAGAATGTCAGCATTTCCAGGGATACTGGATGTGTGCAGTCAAATACCAGGTGCAATATATCCCTCAACAACCCACTTTAAAATTTTTTCTAAATCCAACCACTGAACTAGCCCTTCTCTCCTGATGAGGAGAGTGTTCGGGCCTTTTCACACACCCCCTAAATTGCAATGTCCTTAGTTTTGTTCATAACAAAATTGCATCTGGCCTTGAAACGAGAGGTGGCTCTGGGATTTTAGAGAGGGCTCGGCTGCAGAGAGTGCCGTGTGGGCACCCAAGCCTTCCTGTGGTTGCCTTCTTCTGGCAGTATTTGGAGCTCCTGCTCAACAAAGACTAGTGACTTTCACAGGCAAAAACCACACACATGCAAGCAGCCCCTACTTTCTCTCAGATTCCCCCCACTCACCTATGCATTGTATATTTGTGAAAATAAAAGAACCATTTCAAGAAACGTATGAAAACATATTAGAATAAAAATTTAAATACAGGAAAAGGAGGAATTTGAATCTGGCCTCCGAAAATGTAAGTGAAATGATTATTTAAAACTTGTTTTATGACCACCCTGATGGAGAGATTGTTCGATCAGAGTTTATCCTCAGTGCCAGCTTTTGAAAATGTATAGGTATTTACCAATACAGTTTTTGCATATTTATAAAATATGCAAAAGATCTCATCTTTGCATCTAGGAAATTGCTTCAAAACCCAAGCCAGGTTTATAGCGGTACATTCCAAATAAACAATACAGACTTCTCTGGCAGCCTGAAAAATCAAGTGCGACTTTTCCGAATTGGCTCTTTTCTAAACAAAGGTTTCCCCCAGGCTGCTTGGCAGACCTAGAGACCTCACCTGGTAGGAAACCAGCGACAACCCGGACGTCTGCCCCAGGGAATAAGCCCATCCCAGCGGCCAGGGTCGCTGACCACCTCGTTGTTTGGCGTAGAAACTTTGTTTTCCCCAGTCCCGCCATCTCTTTTTTATCCCCATCGCACCCCCCTATCCCGGCACAGCCCGGGACCCTTTCGCTTGGATGCCCCCCATCTCTGGCTCATCTCATTCTGAATATTTCTACAAACTCGAAGGATCGCTTTGGGTGATTGCTGGCGCAAGGAGCTAAAACCGTCGACTTCCCACTTAGGCCTGCCTCTGCTTTCCAACCTTAGGGAGCGATGGGAGGGGGTGGGGTGTGGGCTGAGCGCCTGTAGCGTCACCCCGGAGCGCACAAACCCAGCCACTTTCCCCAGCCCTGCTCAGACATCGGCCACCTCCCCACTCCCGCCCCAGCCAGACTGAAATTGCTAAACTTGTGGCCTCTTACCTTGACACATTTCCGAAATCACTGCCAAGGGAGAGCTGGCTTCTCCGCGCCGCGACGCCTGCGAGGCCTAGAGAAGGTGCGTTGCTTTAAATTACACCACCAACCACTTCCTGAAGGTGAGCCTCCCTTTTTTTTTGATGCGAAGGGGAGCGGGACAAGTGAAATAACGTAACGTGCTGCTCTTAGTATCAGAAGCGAACAAAGGCCAAGAATCGCGCTGGGGTTCCCCGCTCCCCAGCGGCTTTGACATTGATCGGAAGTGCGCCATCTCGTGGCGGCTGAGCGCCTAGGCCGGGCCCGAACTCAGTCTCAAGCCGGGAGAAGGAAACAGGCTCCAGGCAGAGACAGAGAGAGAGAATGCGCCCAGCCCGCTGCTAAAGAGATCTCATTTTTACATCTAAGAAATTGCTGCAAAACCCCAGCCGGGTTTATAGCGGCGCATTCCAAATATGCAAATAGGCCGGCTCCGGACGGGTTTACGACCACATTGTCACAGCCATCGGAGGATGGGCTTTTATAGGGCTCAGAAATCAAACCCGCGCCAGCTCGCTGCCCGCCCCGCTAACAGGCCTCCTGGCTAGACTCTCTCTAGCAACTTGCGAGACTTTGGTTAATCTTTAACCATACCAAAGGAAGTCTTTCCTTAAACCCTAGGCTTCCCTGCCCACCCCCTCCCTGCTCCCCAGGAGAGTGCTCATTCACCTCTGTGTGTCTATCAACCCAGACATTCATCTCGGGGTCTATCCCACTCCCCTTTGAGCCCGATTTCCCCAGTCGCACCAGTTAGACAAACACACAAACAAATAAACAAAGCCAAAGCCGGGTCTGGGGGTCTGGGGCCTCTCTCCAAATTTGATCCTCTCTGCCGCTCTGGCCCTGCCTGGGTGGCTAGGAAGAGGGTGAGTGGGGGTGGGGTGGGCAACAAAAGGCTCTGGCCTTACTGCCCTGCCCCTCAAGGTTATGGGTGATGTCCAAATTTAAGGCAGAAGTTCAAAGGCAGGAAACAAAGAGGAAACCGGCATCTTTCTTTCCCCAAAGGGAAAAGGCAGCCTCCGCTGGGAGCTGATGAGAAAGCGCCCTTAGAGGCTCCTGAGAGTCTGCTGTCTTTGTACCCAAACCCATCTCCCTCTTGCTGAAGGGATCCTCAGGGCACCCGAGAGGTTCCACTTCAGGCCTCCTAGTCCTGAGGTGAGCAAGCCCAGCTTGGGATCAGACCCACTGGCCACTTCAAGCTTCAAAGCTTTCTCCCAGGGCTGGGGTCAGTCTGAAAGGATGAAGCCTCGTATTCCAGTCCCGGAGATAACCCATTCCGGGGACCCCACTTCCCAAAAGGACCTGGCCGGTCACCCTAGCTTCCTAAGCCTGGCTTCTAGTGGAGTTAAATCCTGACTCAGTCACCTCCCCACCCCCTTAGGGGCCTGGTAACTTGCCCCTTTCCTGGTGGGGGGGTAATGAGGGGGCAGACATTTGGCAGTAAAAGGCAAACAGGGAGAGGAATGTCACACCAAGACCCAATACTCAAGTTTCCACCGTCTTTATTTTCCTTGTGCCCTGTCGCCTGTATACATGCTGCGACATACTTGGTGGGTGAGAATGGAGGACAGGCCAACTCCCCCGTTACAAACAGAGCCACCAGACACTTCTTAACACAGGAAGGCAGAGGAGATTCAATGGGTGTGTGTGTGGGGGGGGCTGCCTGGCTTTCTCAGCTGAGGTTCTCAGGCCCTGGCCGAACTACCTGAGAGCATCCCCTAACACTTTCTAAACATTGCAAGAAATTAAAAAGACCATTCCCAACGCGTTTCCTGCCTCCTCCAGTACCCCAAAGGAAATCAACTAATGGCAAAAAAAAAAAAAAAAAAAAGTATTCAAACAAAATAGGTTATGGTTCCTTTATTTACAAGTCTTTTGAACACCATCCCTGTATGAAGCGTACATTCAAATATTCTTAGCAGTGAGTGAGTTTAACCGTTGAACACTGTAAACAGATACAGCCTTTAAATATTTTCTTCATCATCTTTTTTCCCCTCTACATTGCATCTTTTAAAATTCGCTTTGGTTCCTGCAGGGAAATATATATATAATATAATATTTATCTTTTAAAATAATTCCAAATTGCTCTCGACCTCTTGGAAGGTCGCCGGAAGCTTCCAAGCTCAGTTCTGGGGTGGTGAAGGACAGAGTGCGGCGCCGGAACCGGGTGTTTTGGGAGACACGAGCCCCTCATAGCTGGGGACCGCTGGCCAGGCCTGCTGCTCCTCTGAGCAAATCCAAGCTTCAATTAAGTGTGGGGGAGATTTTGCCAAGCTGCTGCACTCCACAGGCATTTCCTGCAGAGATCTCGGGGCCAGCGGCCTGGGTGAAGTCTCTTGGCTTTTTGATGTCTTCCACCTCGGGGAACGCTCTGCTCTGCCACCAGGCTTTAGGCCTGAGTGGCAGGCCAGGACGAAGACCTTCATGGGTAGGAAAAACTAGGTGGGGTGCAGGAGGTGACTGCTAGAAACTCAGGCCTGGGACAGTGCGATGAGTGGCTAGGAGAGGTGGAGAGCCACAACTGTCACCTGGAATTGTAGATTTTTCTTCCCTCAAGGATCAGCAGCCCTCTCCCACATCATATCTACCTCTTATTCCAGCCGTCTTTCACATTGGCTTTGGAAAGCAGCCCCCTTCCTGCCATCTAGGAATCCTGCCCCTTCCTCCTACTCCTGTCCCCAAGCTGAACTGGGTTTGGAGATCGCATAGCTTCTTGATGCAGGGGTCCTGGGGGTGGGCAGGCTCCATGTGGAGGGTCCTGGGCCGGAGTTGATCTCCAGGGGGCCTGGCAGGGGGCTGTGTCCCTGATGGAGACCACACCCAGCCCGAAGCTCTGCAGTCTCCAAGAGTGAACCGCCAGGGGTCCCAAACCATTCATTCTAGTAGATGCACAGCTCTCCAAATCCAATTACTGTTAGGAATCTTAACCACAGATGCCCAAGAGAGTCCCAGGCCACCTCTTTCCAGGCTATCTCCGTGTAGCCTCTCCTCTCTTGCACATCTCCTTTCTTCAGAAGTCACTGTGTGCCTTGACCTTGTCAAGGGCAAAATCTGCATATAATCTCACGTGTATGAAGCCCCCCCACCCAATTCCAGCTGGCTAGATAGAGCCTTAGAGGAGCGGGTTGGCTGAGTAGTACTGTAAACGGTCTCTGTTAATTTTTTTTTCCTTCATTCTCCTGTTCTGAAACCAGATTTTGACTTGACGGTCGGTGAGGTTGAGCATGCGAGACAGCTGCAGGCGCTTCTCTTTGTTGATGTACACGCTGAAGAAGAACTCCCGCTCCAGCTCGCGGATCTGGTACTTGGTGTAGGGGCAGCGCTTTTTTCGGGTGCGTTGGCCACCTGTGGAGGGCAAAGAGGCTGGGAGTGAGCCAGGTGTGGGGGCTGCAATTCATCCCAGAGGCCCCCGTGGAGGAAAAGGGCTGGCCCCAGGGCCTGGAGGCCCTGCCCAAGCCCCATCAAGGTCTCCCCAGGCCCCGTCTTCAGGCTTCTACAGCCGGCCTGGGACAGGCTGCAGGCAGAGGCTCAGGCCCAGATAAAAGCCAGCTCCCTAGATAGGCCCCCAGGGAAGCTGCTCAGGCTGCCCCCAGAGCAGAAAGGAGGGCTCCTCACAGCAACAGGCGAGTTTGTGCCGCGGAAGCCGCTTTCAAAGCAGCCAAGTGGGGGTTGCCGGCTGCCTGCAGCCCGGCCAGACTAAACAAACTGCCGCCCGCGGACATTTCACCTTCCAGCACCTGGGAGCCGCTTCTCGAGGCGGTAAAGGAGGCCCCAGCCCCGGTCTTTCTCGGCTGCGGTCAGGACTCGGCCCCGCGTTAACGTCTGGGGCAGCTGCGGGGTCTTTGTCAGCCTGAGTCCGGGCCACCAGCTCCTGCCCCCCTGGCCAGCCTCTTGGCTTCCGCGAGGTGAGGAGGTGGCAGCGGAAGCCTCCTACCCTGGGCCTTCGCTGAGCACCAAGGCCACACAGCCGTCCCGGTCCCCCCGCAGGGCAGGAGTGCTGTTTTAGATAGGGTGGAGGGAAGAGGGGTTTCCCAAGGCTGCGGGCAAGCTTGACTTGCTCCCCTTTTCAATAAAACTCCACAAGAGGTAAAGAAAAAAACCCCGCTTTTGACAGATTGAATAACAATTGTGAGTAACATGCAGTCGGACAGAAGGCGGCACTTAATTGCCACCGCGCCAGAGGAAAATGGCTTCCTTTGGACAAAAAGGCCAACTTTGGGTTAATTTGTTTCTTTTAATATATTGCTCAAGCTAAGCGGGCTATTTTATCTGTTAAACACGCTGCTAGCGCCGTCGTTAAACAGCGATGCCTTTGAATGCCGGCCGGGGCTGGAGTCCCTGCGCAACACATGGCTTTTATAAAAATCTCCAGATTACCTCTCTATCAAAGGCTCCCGGAGCCCTTGCAGGGGGAATTTACAGGCGCCCACCTCCGGCTCCCTAGCCCCGGAGCTGGCCCCGAGCGAGGTCGAGCTGCCGGGCTTGGGAGCCGAGAAGGGAAAAAAGGGAAAAAGGGAGTTGTTTTTTTTTTGCAGGCATGCCTTGGCCGGTGGGTATTTCACGGCCAATTTCAGCACTCGCCACGTGATCCCGCCTTTTATAACAAAGTTTTGTTGGGGGAAACCTAAAGGCCCTTCATAAACCTTATATGCTTATAAAACAGCATATAAAAATTTAACAGCGGTGCTGCGCTAGATTTCCAACTCCCCTTTCATAAAGCGCAGGGCGCTGCCTTTATACGTACTGGAGCCGCCGGCCTTGTCCTCAGTGTGGCCGGAAGACGACTCGGGGCTGCTGCTGCTCTCCGGGCGCCGCCGCCGCTCCTTCTCCTCCGCCGCCGCCGCCGCCTCCCGGCAGCCGCCGCCGCCGCCGCCGCCGTCCGAACTTGAAGTTGCCGGCGTGCCCGTGGCCGCTGCCGCCGCCGCCGCCGCCGCGGAGGTCGCCGCGGCCGCCGGGGGCCCCTTCTCGGCGCTCTTGTCCCCGGGGTAGTCGGAGGAGGCGAGGTTTTCCGGGGTGCCGTAGGCCGTCTCGAAAAACTGGTCGAAAGCCTGTGGCAGGACGCCGTTCCTGCCCACGGTGCTATAGAAATTGGACGAGACGGCGGGGGTGGGGTGGTGGTAGACGTTGGCCGAGCTCTTGGCCAGCACGTCGCCAGGCACGCCGGCCGCGCTGGGCGCCTGCAGGCAGTCTCTGTGCACGAGCTCCTCCGCGGAGTAGCAGTGGGCCAGATTGCCGCGGGGGTGCCATTTAGTGGCGGGCTCAATGGCGTACTCTCTGAAGGTCACTTCCCGCACGGGTTGGACCTGGGGCAGGTTGGAAGAGTAGGAGTATGTCATTGGGCGCGAAGACGGGGTCTGGGGCAGAAAAGAAGGGAGGCTGGAGAAATCTGGACCCGAGACGTAGTAAGTACAACTTGGCAAATACATGTTAGAGGAGCAGGGACCACGCTCATCAAAATCCATCATTGGGCTACCTTGGGCTCTCCGCAGTAGCCGAGCTTAACATGATTCTCCACTGCAGCTGCCTCTTTGAAGCGGATCCGTGAAGTAGAAATTTGGAGACGTAAGCTGACGTGGAAATCTATCCCCATCCTTAGCAGGGAGGTGCTGGTCATGTGACCCGATGTTGAAATTGACAAGCTGCGAGCTAGTCCGGGCCTTTTTTTTTTTTTTCCCCCTTTCCTTTTTTTTTTTTCCCTCACTCCTCGGCTTCCTTTCTTTGTAGCCACCTCAGGGGAAGCAACAGATCGTCACTCGGTGTTCTCACCGAAAGCACGTAATCGCCGGTGTAACTCATGTTGGCTGGGGGGCCTCCCGGCGCGCGGCGAGGCTGGGGTGCGCCCCCATGCCACTCGCTTGGGCTCAGCTGCACGATCCTGGCCCTCAAGTGCGCCGAGGGCGGTGAGAGAGCTCAACTCCTGCCACCCACAACTCCCCGGGTGAGGGATGCCTCAGACTGGGGGTGACTGGGTGGGAGCTCGTCGCTGGGTGGCCCGTGCGTGGTCTTGGAATCTATTCGCCTGGAGGCTAGCGTTTGCACCTTCTTCGCTGTCCCCCTCCCACAGGCTTGCTCTGGGAACCACCTCTGCCTCCTGCCCTGGCCGGACCCCCTTCGGGGCCAGGGTTCGCAGCCGTGGATGTGCCTGCCTCGTGACTTGCCCGATTTGCACGGTGGCTTGATTACACGCTCGCATTCATGGTCACTTCCGAAGCGCTTTAGTGCCTTCCGTCCCTAAACCGCCAACAACCGGGGCGGCTTCCCCCGCGGTTTGTCAGGGATCCGCAGGTCCCGGAAGGGCCTTCGTCTTACCCGGGATCCACCTCCCCTTCATCCTCCCAGGCAGCCTCCTCACCCCACCCCCTGCCCTTGTAGAAACCCCCTCCTCCTCGCTGCCTGCCTGGGTTCAGAGTCGCTCCGGAGAGCCAGAGGCGCGGGGGCTGCGCCGCGGCGCACTGGTCCGCCCACCCGCCTGGTCTGGAGCTGAGGACTCGGGAAACCATGCAGTTGAGGCGAGCCTTGGGCTGCTTTAGAGGCGCTGATATTCGAGGAGGCTTCTCCTGGGTACGCTGCACCTTCCAGGGGCCCATCAGGCTGCTAGCGGAGCTCCAGAGCTGTAGGGAGAGTGGGGGCAGCCAGGAGGGGGAGAGGGCCAGGGAGCCGGCTGAGAAAGGGGTAACAAGCCTCCTCTCCTTCCCTGAAAGCGTGAGAGGCAGGGATGTGCAGGACAGAAACTCAGAAGGCCCGGCGCCTTTCTTGCTACTCATCCCACAGGAGGAACACAATGCCAAAAGAAAGAGACGTGTTCCCCAAACTTCTAGCACCTTGGGTGACAAGGATGCCTTGAAAAGGCTAGGTTTGAGCTAAAGATAGAGACAGAGGCCATAGAAGCTAGTATGAGTCTAGCTTTGTTGGGAAGAGGAAAGAAAAATATTGAGATGGTGAAAAATGCTGGCCATCCTGCAGGATTGGATGAACAACGTTTGGGAGAAGTGAAAGAAAAGGGCATAGAGCAGCCAGGCAGGGCCAGGAGCGGGAGGGGCCCAGCCCTGAGACCTCCCCACACCTATCTTCTTGGAAAAAGCTGGATGTCGCTGAAGGAAAGTCGAAAAATGAAAAAGGATAACCTTTTCCCTTTCCCCATCCAGGAAATAGCCAAAGGTATTTATATATCTTGGGGAGATTTAGAGTATAAACTCTAAGATCTTTGGTATTTAAGTGTCAACATCGATTTATTTATTTATTGCTGAGCTGACTGTAACTGACTCAATAACAAATCTAATCATGTTTTGCACTGGAAAAGAAATATTCTCATTATGTATTTTCTTCAAATGATGGGCCACCATTGCATTTGAATACCCGCTGTAAATATCAATAATATCGAGTAATTACTCTGTAGTGGAGTAAACTAATTTATTAGCATTAATGTTTATGTGGCTCCTACCCCCCTTCTTTACAAGGGTTGCTTATCACAAATCAAACTCCTCGGACACATTGGTTTAATGAACTCTTTATTCAGGATTTGCTGCAAGAACTTTCATGCCCCTTGAATCCCTGAGAGTTGAACTTGAAATTATTCGTGCATCTTCAGCTTGACATATTTGTCCACTGTGGCTTGTGCAGCGGGCAGTAGCGGTGTGAGTGAGACGGTCTGGGTCGGAGGAGGAAAGTTTTTGGGAAAGGTAGCTTGAGACCTCCTAAAGCTGGGAATCACTCTTACAGAATTGCCCTGTAGCGAAAAAACCTCGATTTCAAGTGGCAAACAACAAGGCAAAATATTTATTTCTCCACAGCATCTCTTTCTTGGAGACAGAATGTAAAAGGGAAAACGGAGAGGTTTGGAACAGCGGTATTTGACCCGTTCCCTGCCTTGATTTTGGCTCTCCCAAAGTCTCTCCCTGCAGCCCACCCGGTCCCCACCACCCCGACCCTCCAACAAAAGGAATGCATGAGGGGTTTCAGTCACTTTGCTATAACAAAGGCGCCACCATTTCGGGGCTTGCCCCGCCCCTGGGTGAAGGCAAACAAATTCTTGCACTTGTATTAGGGCTTTTAAGACTATAATTGAACCCGGGGGCGTCTAGGAGAGCCGAAAACAGTTCTAGACAGACCTGGGGTTTTATAGCAGTTTTGGCAGTCAACTTCAGCTTGTGCCTGAGCAGACCGGCTGCGGTGGCCCGCCAGCGGGGGACGCCAGGCCGTCTCCCCCAGCTGCACCTCTCCTAATTAGATCGGGGTTTCCCCTTGGTGCTAGGGAGAGGGGGTCCCCGCAGAAAGGTTGGTATGGGGATGTGCGCTGTTCTGCATAGCCAATGCCTCCCATGTTCTTGATGGCCAAGCCGAGAGGGTGCCGGCAGGTCTGGATCCCATGGGCGTCTGCAGGAGACAAAGGCGAATTCCCGAGGAAAGGCTGGGGCTGAGGAAGGCTCTCCGGGAGCGGCTGGCAAGACAATTCGGAAGGCTGTACCGAAGCGGGGTGCCGGGAGGGACTTGCAGCCTAGAAGGGGGCGGGTGGGGGCGCTGCCGGGAAATGAAGGAAGGAAAAAAGGCTCTCGACGCCAGAAGGGAAAACGCCTGGAGCGACGAATGCTTTTAGTTCCCCAGCAGGGACAGGAGGGGGTGCTCAGATCCCCAAGGCTGCGCACTGTTCCCAGCTTTGTCGTCTCCTGCCCCTCTTGCCCAGAATACCCTGGCGGTGTGAAAGTTGGGGAGGGGGGTAGTTCGGGGGTGCGCGCAGTTCTGAGGATCAGATAAAATCTTGGGGAAGCATGGGAGGCAGAGCTGCGGGTCCTTGGTTTTGACTTTGCTCTGAGCCTAATTGACTCTTCCGCTTTACAGGAGGCCTAACAGCCGAGCTGAGCCCACCCAGCTCAGGGAAAGACCCGACGCGAGGCTAAGGCGGCCCTGGAAGGCCAAGTCCGAGTGGCATTTCTTGAAGAGGCTGAGACGGGCAAGGCTGTGACATTGGCCCTGGCGACTGGTTTCCCATGAGCTCTTCTTTCTCAGGAGCTCCAAAGCGCAGGGCCATCTCCAGAAAACAGACATCAACGTGTATTTCCTTTTATCGTCAACCCGGAGCCCCTCGGCAGCAAATGCAAGAGGCCAAAAATGTTTTGGAGGAAGAAAAACAAAGGCAGGAAGTGGCGGCGGCCTGACGGTGCGTGTGTGTCTGCGGAGAAGGGAGGGAGCCGTTTCAATCTCTTGTTGTTTTTCCAAACTTCAAGGTCTAGGCAGCTTTCGCAGGGTTGGCCCCGTCGCTCCGCGCGCAGCATTTGGAGATGGCCACCCCGAGAGGAGAAGGCTGGCGCCCGCGCCAGCCTTGTTAAGCGGAAACGGCTAACGAGGCGATTTGCTCAGCAAAGCAGACCGAGCCTTTCCAAAGCTTAGTTTGATTTGGCCCTAAAAGTGGGGTGGGGGTTGGGGGGTTCCGCAGCGCCTCCCGACTCTCCTCAGGCGGACTGAATGCGCCCTAGCAGGAGGATTCGTGCGCCCTGCGCTCCATGCGCCTTCCCAGGCGGGATATCGCAATAAAGTGTGTCCAGGTGCCTCTGCCCAGCACTGCCGCCTCCGCTTCTTCTTGCAGTCGAGGGGTCTGGGCAGCAGCCGCAGGGCGCCTGCTGGCGGTGTCCGGGCTGGGTAGCCTTGGCGCGGTCGGTGCGCACTGGGGGCAAAGTGAAGCCTTTTCGACGAGGTTGTCTTGCTGGAGGCATTTCCAGCAGAGTCACTGGAGAGACACGAGCTGAAAGACTGTCACTTGATAGGCAGCCTAACACCCGCTTACTCCAAGGGAGGATAGAGCTGTAGGCAGGGAGCACCTCCAGACTCCTGGGTTCCCAGCCCCCGTGGCCCTGCTGCCAGGCTGCACTCTTCTCTCTGTCGGGGCTGGCTAGGTTGCCGGCAACGGCTCATCGTCCAGAAATCTGAGAATCCGATGTCCCCAGTGCCTGCACTTGCAGCCCTTTGACTGCTTAGTGTGTAGCCCATAGTGTGAATGCCAACACCAGGCTGCCCGCCCACCGCATTCCCTCCCCGGCCGCTCCTGTCTCCCTGCAGCTCCTGCTTGCCTGTCTCTCTCGCCCAGCCTCTTTCCAGCCACGTCTCCCCTTCTGCGGCTGCCTGCCTCTTCTGATGCCTCTGCTAGGCTGAGCAAGAGCTGAGGTGCCAATGGAGGGCACCCAGTACTCAAACACAGAGAAGGGGTGCTGTTAGGTGCCTGACTCTCCCCCAATTCAGGCCTCCAGCAGGGATCTGAACTGGGCCTCGCACCTCCTTCTGAATACTCCACTCCAAGGCCCTGACACACTCTTTTTCTCTCCCTCTCTCTCTCACCAACACTTCCTCCTCTTCTTGGGACTCAGCTCCTGCTTTTCTAGGCCTGGCAATCCTGGATGGCAGCTGGCCTGGGAGGAGTCAGACCTACTTGACAGACTGAACCTCACTCCCAAAGATCTACAGTTGTTTACCTGTGGACCCCTTAGGGAACCAATTTTTTTGCCTCTTCTTGCTGGTCTGAGCTCTTACCTTCCTCTGTCCCTAAATGTCATATCTGTTTCTAGAAAGCTACACAGAGGACTATCAAGAGCCAACTGGGGGGCTCAGGGTGGAAAGAGCCACCAAGCCCTTCCTGGGGTTGGAAGCCAGGGTTTTCTTTGGGAGCCATCCCCTTCCAAGGAGGAAGTGTCTTGGAGGTGCATCTGTCTTCCATGGTGAGCCTCGGAAATGGGTTTTCTGGGAAGGCCCAGGAGATGTCCCAGTATTTGTTCTCAGGAAACTATCAGCAGATCATAGCCAATCTATCATACTTCCAGGCACTGTCTGGAGGCGGTGCTGAGGCTTCGATGAAATATCAGGAGACCGCCCCTTCCCCCCATCACTAGCAGGTGGAGCCAGGGGTTCATTTATCCCCTTGGCTTGGCAAGGCACCTGCCTTGCCCACAAGCTCCTCTACCTTTTCCTAAAACATAGAAACAGGTAATGCCTTGAACTTGACCTTACGGTTGGTTATCATCTGACTCAAAGTTTCAATCCTCCAAGATCCCTAAATAGCTGAAGAAGTCCACATCCTTCCCCTGGCCCCTGAGGAGTAGGGCACAGGGCTCAGCTGAGGGGCTCAGACACCCAAACAATCTGGTTACTATTTAGTTTAGTGGGTTCCAAACCAATGGGAAAAAGAGAGTTACTTCCTTTGAGAACTACTTTTATTGTTATTGTTGTGGACTCATTAAAGAAGAATTTTTTCCCTATCGAGGGGGGACAAATGGGGTGGGGGGAACCTTGAAGGGCAAAGCCCTGGTTCTCAGCATCTGCCTTCCATTCTCCCTGTGACTTCGGCGCAAACGGGTTTCCCCAGCCAAGTGTGTCTGCAATAAAGAGGACAAAAGAGGGCAGCCCAACCAGAAGGCCAGCTCTGGCCCTCAGGGTCTGGGTTCCTGCAGCTGTGGCTCAGAGGAAGGCCCCATGCCCCAAGCTCCAGCCGCCTCTAGGGCAGCTCCCCAGGCTCCTCCGTTTGTTTCTGCTCATCGGTGATCCATGGCTCACATTCCAGACTTGAGAAGAGTGAGCCCCAGCCGGTCCAGCCCTGCTCTAGGAGTCTCCCTCACACACCCTGCCAGGGAGTTCTGTGATGGGACCCACGCATGGGGAATCCCTCCAGCTAGTGTCTCCTCAAAGCACTGCTCCACCGGTGCAGCCCTAGGGATAAAGCCTAGCTTTTCTGTCTTCTGTGAAAAACAAGATGCAATCATTTGCTGGGCCTCTTTGATTCACCTGGAGCAATAAGCTCAGGGGCAGACGGGCTTAAGCTATTTGTTGACCACTGGGCCTCATGTGGTGACCTGCTGCAGGCAGGCTATGGGCAGAGGGAAGGGGCTCCCATCCCTCCAGAGCACAGTGAGGGGGTTCTTGGGGCACGAGAGAGTCAGGGATTTTTACCTTTGGCAGAATGCACCTCTCTTCTTGGGCCAGATTGTAAGCAGGAGAAGGAGGACATCAAAGGTCTTGCCAAAGACCTGCCATGCATTGAGGGAGCAGACCTGGACTCAGGGACCTCAAGAGAGGCCCCCAGCAGGGTCCTTGCTCCCCTATCCTATTCCTGGCCCGTCCGGCCCTGCCTGGTCCCTTGTTTCTAGCGGAGCCCAGAACTCCAGTCCAGCCACCACCCTTTCTGGAGCTCGCAGGCTCTACCTCTCACCGGTCTAGGCCTCCACGGCTCCGAAGTCTCCTGGACCTTGCTCTTCCAGGACTCGCTGGAGACATCCTCTAGGCCACCCTCGGCTGCGGGAACTCCTTTTCAATAGGGCTGGGGCCGACGGAGTTGGAAACTGAGAAAGAACCCCTGCCTCCAGTCCGCAAGCCCAGGCTATCGGAACCCGCTTGTAGCCGGCCGGTTGGGTGTCCTGCGCCTTCCTGCGGCCGCCACCGCGACCGGCACTGACCAGGGAGGCGGCCACGGCGCCAAGGACTTGACCTTTGCGGAGCGAGGGGAGGGCGCTCGCTGAGCTGCCTGGAGGGGCATTCTGCTGTCTCCGGCCTCTCCCACCCAATAGCAGCCCGGACAACCCACGCATGCTGCGCTGCTCACCCCGATTCCCCCCTCCATTTCGCGCAGTGTCCGCAGACCCGCAGCCTGAACAAAGCCCCCAGCAGTGCTCTCACCACCTCCTCTGCAGCTCTTGTCCCCAACTCCTCTGGGCCAAAAGGCTCAGAGCTAGAGCCAAGCGGTCAAAGGCCCTTCTCAGCGCCCTCTTCTCTCGCCTGACCCTAGCCGCCCTCAGCCAGCGCCGGGGTACCACTCTGGGTGCCAACCGGGCCCCTGCCCGTGCCAACTTCGCGTGCGCCGGGTCCTGGCCCCGGGCTGCGGGCGACGCCAGGCCTTCAGCCGAGCGGAGCGCCGCAGAGGCGCGGGACGCAGAGAGGCGCTAGGCTGCTCACCGGCCCAGGCGGAGGCCCGGGGCAGCCAGGGGCGCCCGGATCTGGCGGCTCGGGTCCCCACGGTGGCCCTGCGTGCCCAGATCCCTCTGCACTCCCTCGGATCTCACCGCACCCCTCAGCCCGGGGCTCAGAAAGCGGAAGTATTTGGTAGAGAAAAACACGGTTTCTTTTCAGCCCGTCTCAGAACCCCTTTTAGAGAAAATGCTCCTGTCAGGTTTTATTTCCCGTTGCAAACCACCTTCCACGCTGCCAAGAATTAAGACCGGGAGAGATTAAATACCCGATTATTCTCTTGGGGAAGGAGGGGCGGGGCGGAGAAGGGGGCACCCGCACAAAACATTCGTTTGAATCGGCTTGTCCTCATCAAATAACGCCTAGGGAGGCCCGCGAAGGCCCGCTTGGGCGACGGTGACGTCAGCCCGCAGCTGCGGGGAGACTGGCGGCGCGGGTACCCGGCCCTGCAGAGGCCGCCTGGCGGGGGCCGGGGGGCCGGTGCCGTGACCTCGGCCTAACGTCCTGCTGCACGCCCCCTCCGGCCCACAAACCATCCGAGCGAGGCCGGCTCTGTAAGGGTTGGAGCCTCCATTTTGAGTAGAGGGTTCCTTTGGAAGCGTGCAGATCTTGAGCCTCGCCTGAGGCTCTGCGGCGCGCGACACCAGGCGGCCCCGCGTCCACGGCAGCGCTCCTCCAGCCTGTCCACACCCGGCCCCTGGGGCGAGCCCCGCGCCGCCGCGCGCCCGCCCGCAGAGGCTTGAACAGCTGGCACGCCGAGGTAATGATTTCTGCCGGGTGGATCCAGCTCTTCAGCCGCGCGACGGAGCCGGGCAGAAATGAAATCAACTGTGGCCAGGCCTTGGCTGCTTTCACGAAGGCGTTTTTCTGTGCCAGCGTCTTTTTTCTTCCCTTTAAAATCAAATTAAAAACAGCCAACACCTTTCAGGCGTTCGTCGGCGCTAAGCAGATGCCCAAGGATTGAAGCAGCCGATCAGAAAGCGGGTATTTTCATAAAAAAGGAAGCAGGCTGTTATTTACCCGGCGGCCTAGCAGATGAAAACATAATTATGGTGTGCCGGTCCTAAAACCTAGGCATAAATCTCCCTGGGCCCCTTGGATAACGCTACATCTTTGCTTATGAAAAATGGGATGTGAGCAACTCGCTGCACATTTCTCTGATTCTCCAGGTCTTGGGCTGCTGACACGCATTCGATCAACTTTAAAGGAATGCGCATAAATCAGCAAGCCCCAAGCGTCTCCTCGGTAAAGGTCCTCAAATCCGGAAGGGCGCCTCTGAACCCACCGGGTCTGGGGCTTAGCAGCCTGGGGCAGCCTCCGTCTCCGCTCCGAAACTCGGGAATTCGAAGAGAGGAATCGAGGCGCCGCATCTTCACCCAACCCTCCCAACGCACTCAGCAGGGTGTAATCTGCATATATATTATACGGTGAAATCCGTGTCATTAACTACCAGCACACATATGTCTCACCCTCAGCTGAATTTCACTGCCTCGTGAATTTTTAAGAAAACATCTCAGGTTGAATTTTAAAAAATAATTTTCTTTTCCCTCTTTCTTTAAAAATTTTTCTTTTTCTGTTTTCAAAAAAGCACACAATTTTAAACGGATGGCTTCAGC